AGAGTTGGACTCTGAGAAATGCAGGACAGGCAACCCAGTGTTTCTAAAAATTTCAGAGTCAACTGTGGTAGTTATCCTCAGTGTAGTTTTGGCTACATTCTCTTCCTTTCACACAGCACACTCAGCACCCTCTATCAGTCCTCTCTTCCGATCAGAAATTGATAAGATATAGAGTAAAGAAATACAGGCTGACCCAGTTTACAGGTGACATAGGTTGTGCTGCACCAGAACCTGTTGACAGAAAAGTTAGTATGTAATGGGAGCAGATTCTCTTTTGAATGCCGAAACCCAGTGGAAATTTTTGCTGTATCTGAATAACAGAAATGCAGAGAAACTTATTGAAGGTAGTGGTTTATCTTTAGGTAGAATGTAAAATATATATCCATTTTTAAGAGCATTTATTGCCTCAGCCAATGGATAGAGTGTTGGCCTGCGTGAAATGGAGGGTCCCAAGTTCAGTTCCAGTCAAGAACAAGTACCTTGATTGCAGGCTTGATCCCCAGTGTGGGAGGCAACCAATCAATGTGTCTCTCTCAAATTGATATTTCTTTCTCTTTGTCTCTCCTCCTCCCTTCCACTCTCTCTAAAAATCAATGGAAAAATATCCTGGGGTGAGGATTAACAACAACAAAAAGCATTTATGGATATATTACTGGGAAAAAAAAACCAGTCACATGACCTAGTATGAAATTAAAATTTGCATTCCAGATAACCTAGTTTTTCCTGAAGAATAATCCTTATCAGCTGTATGATTTTTAAAACAAAAATAAGAAATTAAGGTTAGTGTCGATTAACATTTTTAATCAATTAAAATCTGTTTAAAGTTACATCTATCTATAATGCTATCAGTTAGAATTGTCCAGAAATCTTGGTCTTTTATTTCTGGTTTGTACGCACGAGCTTCAGTAAGTACCTAGCAGCAGAAATCTGTAAGAAGTAGTTGTCATCCTTGCTGCTGCAGCAGTGGTTGTGACCTGCTTTTTCTTTTTTAAATTTTTACTATTGATTGTAGAAAAAGGGAGAAAGAGGAGAAACATAGATTTCTCATTCCATGTACTTATGCATTCATCGGTTGAATCCTGTATGTGCCCTGACCGGGGGATTGAACCTGCAGCCTTAGGGTATAGGGACAATGCTCTCACCAACTGAGCTACCCCACCAGGGCTTTTAGTTATGACCTACTTTTAAGATGCTGATAGGAAAGTGTCATAGTATGTATGTTTAAGGTTACATTTTAAAAGCCTTCCATCACTTCATTGTTGTTTCCATGGAAGCAGAATCACTATCCTCAGCAGGAGTCCATTTCAACTGCTGGCTTCCTGTTCTTGACTCTGTTCCTATGGAGACTGCCTAGAAAGCAGCAGAGATACCACAAGTTTAAAAAACAGTGGTTTGATCACATAATATGGCGTTAACTCTAGGTTTAATTAGGTGGTCCATTATCTTGGCATTTTTCACTCAAATTATTTTGGGAGACAAGTTGATATCTTTGAATAAAGCAAAATTTGAAGTTTTATTAAAGCTTATTTACACTGAATGAAAACACTAAATTGGCACAGTTTCTATTAGAATTGAGGAATAAAAAATTCTAAAATGGGGATTTAAATTAGGGTTTAAAAGACATAAGCTGAAATGAGAAGAGCCAATGAAAATGTAAATAACAGAGTCCATAAACAGCAAACTCAAAATCAAGGGCTGGTAGTGTGTAGAAATATGGAATGTTTCTTATTTATGTGGCACACTTTATCCTCAAAATACATTACACTTAGGTGATTTTCATAGATTATGTCCATTTTTCAACTGAGTAAATACAAACCTTGGGTCTAGAAATTAAGTACATCTTTAGGACAGAGGCAAGGAGTATACTGATTATTTTAACTGAGGCTTCAGGAGCTGAAGTGTGCCTAGAAAGCTTCAGAGACACCAAAGGTTTAAAATACATTGTTAATCCGCAGTTAAAAAGCAGTAGAGAATTTTTCCCCTCACCAAGACCAGTTACATTTGTAAATTTCTCATGAAGGAGAGAAGAGATGGAATAGTAATGTAAAAGCTGTGAAAGGACCCAAAACCGGTTTGGCTCAATAGATAGAGCGTCGGCTTGGGGACTGGAGGGTCCTGGGTTTGATTCCGGTCAAGGGCATGTACCTTGGTTGCGGGCATATCCCCGTACGGGGTGTGCAAAAGGCAGTTGATCGATGACTCTCTCTCATTGATGTTTCTAACTCTCGATCTCTCTCCCTTCCTCTCTGTACAAAATCAATAAAATATATTAAAAAAAAAAAAGCTGTGAAAGGAAAGTTATTTAGCAAAATTACAATAACCTTATTGCAGTTCTGTGTTCATTCAGGGTTCTTTGGTTTGCATGTGATAAAAATCTACTACATTTGTACTACCTTATGCAAAAAATGGCGGGAATGTAGATTCAGCTGAAATCAGGGACCCCAGTCACGCTCGGATTTTTCTTTCTTTCTCTCCTGTCTGCTTCTTTCTATCCAGTTCCTTTCAGATTGGCTTTGTGCATTGGCAGAAACGATGGCTGCTGGCAGTCCCCACTCTTATTTCCAGTGTCAATAACAGAGAAGGCCTGATTGGTCCAGTTTGTGTTGGGCCAGTTCCTCTCTCCTCCAGCTGTGGCCAAGAGGGTGTGGTTCTGTGATTGGCTCAGCTTTCAACCCTTGGCTAACTAGTACTGTCTAGAGGGACTGAAATCTGAACCAAGATAGCAGCTTTCATTCAGAGCAGTTGTTGGTAGGTAAGAGTTGCTACTGGGAGGTGGGGAGAGGAGAGGTGAAGCAGTGTCAAGGGGAGGAGAAAGTAACAGGAGATACTCTTCCAGGCAAAAATAAGAAGAGTTTTTGCCACTAGTGATCTTTTTTGGGAAAATGTTTGCCTTACTTTAGTAATTTAGTTCACTTTAATTCAGCAAAGCAGTTAACATTTTGAAGGATTTAATTCTGAGAGAAAAATGAGAAACGTAAACCTTTATTGTAGTGCTTCCTATAGTTTTGTCACTGTTTTAATGCATTTAGGTGTGTTGTCTTCCTTTCATCTCCATAACCGTTTGAGACCTATATTTCCATTAGGGAATGAGAAGACGTTCAGTGACTGAGATGCCTTATCATTGGTCACATGACTGGTGAGAGGCAGAGCCAAAATTCAGATAACCAGGGTTTCTGGAATGCAATCCAGGACACTTCCCACTATATGACAACTTGCTTTTTTACTGACTTCATTCAGATGATGTATATGGTCAGTTATAAAAACAGTGCTATGTGTTAAGTGCTTTGATAAAAATGAGTCATGAAAAATATGAAATATTATTTAGGAAAGGAACCTTAGAGATCATAAATAGTACAGTGGTTCTTAAAGTTTTTACTTTCAGCCTTGAAATGTTCACAGTCAAGTATCACATAAAATGAACAAAAGCACAGGATCATCCTGCTCTGGAAAAGGGAGAGCTGGGTGTTCCACGGGCTGGACCACCTCTCTTTTGAGGTCTTAACTTCTTGGAGGCCACTTTGAAAAACTTTTGTTTAGGAGAACAGAGAGCCAGTCAGGGTAAATAAATGACTTGTCACTTTCAGATAATTATATATTACAGGGATTTAAATCATATTCTTGTTTTCATTTGTAAGGTGAGTGACAATTTGTTGTTAATGAAAAAGCCATGAAGCTTATAAAAATCAATTAGAGTGAATGCAGAGTTACCCTAAATAATTGTATTCTTCAGTTTGGTAGTACTTTTACAGCATGTCATATCCATGTCATAGCTCTTGTTAAACATACTAGAGGCCTAGTGCACTAAATTCATGCACAGGGTGTGTGTGTGTGTGTGTGTGTGTGTGTGTGTGTGTGTGTCCCTCAGCCCAGCCTGTACCCTCTCCAATCTGGGACCCATCCAGGATTGGGCTTAAATGGGCAGACATCCCTTTCAAAATCCAGGATTGCTGGCTCCCAACTGCTCACCTGCCTGCCTTCCTGATTGCCCCTAACTGCTGCCTGCCAGCTTGATCACCCCCTAACCACTCCTCTGCCAATCTGATTGATGCCTAACTGCTCCCCTGACAGCCTGTTTGCCCCTAACTGCCCTCCCCTGCAGGTTTGGTCACCACTAACTACCTTCTCCTGCAGGCCCAACTGCTCTCTCCTGCAGACCTGGGTTCCCCCTAAATGCCCTTCCCTGCAGGCCCAGTTGCCTTCAACTTCCCTCTGCTGGCCTGGTCACCCCTAACTGCCCTTTCCCCCCCCCCCCCCACAGGCTTAATTGCCCCCAACTGCCTTCCCTTGCAGGCCTGGTCCCTCCCAACTGCCCTCCCCTGCTGGCCATCCTGTGGCAGCCATCTTGTGTCCACATGGGGCAGCCGTCTTTGATCACATGGGGGCAGCCATCTTGTGTGTTGGAGTGATGGTTAATTTGAATATTACTCTTTTATTAGATAGGCTATGGCCCTTAGTAATATTTGTTGAGTTAGACAACTGTCTAGATAAGAGTAGTCTTTTATCTGCAGAGCTTTTTTTATACTACATTTCTCATATCTACTATTATAAAATACGTTGAACTCTCTATATACATATTTCAATAATAGAATTTCAGAATTTGGATAAATAAAATTCATGTAGGTAATATTTAGTCCTTGCTCAGGAATATAAAGTATAGCATAGAGAATATAGCCAATAATGTACTAAATATATATGGTGTCATGTGGTTATTAGACTTATTAGAGGATCACTTCCTAACTGTATATATGTTTAACCACTATGCTATAGACCTGAAATGAATGTAAAATAATATTGAATGCCAACTGTAATTAAAAAATAAAAAACATTTAGACCTTGCTAATATTAATAACTTTGATGTTCATCCAGTTTTGAATCTCTCTTCTTTTCAGTTAGAAATGTGAATAAGTGGTGCATTGGATAACTGGAAGTTTATCTTCAGATTGGATAAAGAAGAGCTTATTTATTTTCCCCCTGACCTGAGTTTTGTTTTCTCTTTGTAGGAGAGTCAAGCCCTACCCGGCGAGAAGCTGTGAAGAGAAGAACAGCAGAGTATCTCATGCGAGCAGAGAGTCTCTCTAGCTTTCATAGAAAACCTCAATTTGATGAAGTATCTCAGGTATGTCTTATGTTTCATTTGCATTTCTTTTAGCCATTTTTTCTGTCTTGTCTCTCACTTTATTTCTATTTAGAGTGTTTGAGAATTTTGGTCTCTGGAATTTTATCAATAATTTTAAGTTATTGGGGAAAGAAAAGCATTAAAGCAACCACCAAAAATAAAATAAAATGGGACTTGCTTTCTCCTTCTTTCTTGGACCTTTTTTCTTACTCTACTCCTAATAATCTAATTTATACTGAAATTTATTTGAATTTTTAAAAAAAACATATTTTATTGATTTTGTACAGAGAGGAAGGGAGAGAGAGAGAGAGCTAGAAACATCAATGAGAGAGAGTCATTGATCATCTGCCTCTTGCACACCCCCTACTGGGAATATGCCCGCAACCAAGGTACATGCCCTTGACTGGAATCGAACCCGAGTCCCTTTAGTCCCCAAGCCGATGCTCTATCCATTAAGCCAAACCAGTTTTGGCTTATTTGAATTTTTAAAGTTATATTATGATCCTCCTACAATTCCTATAAATTTTTTATTGATATATGCTAAAGCTAACCATTTAAGCATAAGTCATATAAATAGCTGCTATTGGTCACCTAGAATTGTAAAGATATAATTCTAACAGTGATGTTTAGATTATTTAGGCCTACCTTTTGTCTTTCTCAAGAGTAGGTAAATGCTTGAAACGTTAGAAACATTGTGGTTTAATATTATTGTTTTTATATCTTATCTATCTGTTTTGGCACATTTCGGGAGAAAATTGTTATTTCTTTCTTTATATTAAACCAACTTAAAAAAAAAAAGCAATTTAAGGATCATCTTCTGAGATGGGAGAAAGTATTTATTTTCTCAATTGATCTAAGAGGGAGGCTGGCTTGTTCAGATCTTAGCTCTCCATTTGAAGCCGTGAAGATTGGACAAGCTATTTAATTACCTCAAAGCTTCAGTTGCTACATATGACTAATGAGGATCAGAGTAATTCCTTGCTGAATTCTTGTTAGGATTAAAGGAGTTTGAGAAAATCATTTAAAACACACACACACACACACACACACACACACACACACACACTCACACAAATCAAGTGTCCAAGAAACTAGCCTATAAGCCAAACTTATAAGACTAGATTAATGAGTCTTAGCCTTATTTTTCATCTCTCCTTATATACTGCTTTATAATTCTTCACTGTTGAATTGTATCTTTTTAAAATGATATATTTATTTAAAGATTACTTTAAATTCAATTCTTACTGTCAATGGGGTTGGCAACATTCCAGGTGTGCAATCCTAATATGTACATTCTTAATTTTGTTTTTGGGGACATTGATAAAAGTATTAAATAGGATAGGTTCGTATCAACTTACTTATTTTATTAAATCACCTTGTATATAAATATTCTAAAAGTTTTGGAGAGTCAAAATTATCAGTTCTTTCCATTAACAGTAATTTTGAATAATCTAACTATATTTATTCAAACTCCCTATTTGTGGATCCCCTGTTATAGTTGCTCATAATCACTTTTGTGAGCAGTAATTTATTAAGAAAGTAAACATAAAGCTAATTGTATAGCTTTTAACTTGGAGGAAGGAACCATGAAGTATATCAGTCAGTATGTCCCTTCAAGCATAGCTTTAAAAATAAATTAAAAAAAATATATATATATTTCAGAGAGGAAGGGAGAAGGAAAGAAGGATAGAAACATCAATGACGAGAATCATTGATGGCTGCCTCCTGCACGCCCCCTACTGGGGATCAAGTCCGTAACTCAGGCATGTGCCCTTGGCTGAAATCAAACCTGAGCCCTTCAGTCTGCAGGCCGATGCTCTATCCACTGAGCCAAACCAGCTAGGGCAAGCATAGCTTTTACTGAAAATAAAACTAAAGAGGTATAATATAGAAAAGTTGATTATATTGCTATATATTAATTCATAGGCATCTGTTAAGGCTCTGTGTGTATATAAAACAAACTAGATATATTCTGGAGTTATAGAAAAGATGATGACAGTCTCTTCTCTTATAAACCCTGTAGCATAATTGAGGACCCCAAATATGCACCTAATTCAGGAAATAAAATTGAGAATGGTTAGAGCCCTGCAGAATGATGGCAGTTTGTATCAGAAAGGGTAGAGAGGGGTACTACATTTGATATACTAGGATTTAAAAATATATATATTTATTGATTTCAGAGTGGAAGGGAGAAGGATAGAAAGATGGAAACATCACAGATGAGAGAGAATCATTGATTGCCTGCCTCCTGCACACCCCCTACTGGGGATCGAGCCTGCAACCCAGGCATGTGCCTTTGCCCGGAATTGAACCTGGGACCCTTCAGTCCAGAGGCTGATGTTCTATCATTGAGCCAAGCTAGCCAGCGTTATACTAGGATTTTTTTTTTTTTTTTTTTTTTAGTGTTTAGGCAAGAAGACTGGAGGAGAGTTTTTCTTTCTAGAGCAAGAAGTTTTCTTTTTATAGTAAGCAATTGCTTTTTATTTTCATTTTGTATTTTATTCTATCAAACTTGGCCCTTATTTAGGTCAGGGACATGCTTGATTGCTTTCTTATCTAAAATTGAACTTAAATGTCTTCTAGATGTTTTTTTTATTATCTTGGTAAATTCATTATTTGTCTCCATTAACTTTCTTTGGGCGTCAGTTTCAATGAACACAATGAGAGGACTAGTATAAATGATTTCCGAGGCCCTTTTAACTCTTAAATTCTGTGCAAAGCAGATATTCTCTTTTGAATCCATGTGTAAACACTTCTTTCCAGCCTGGTTTATTAAGAAAATAAAAGAATCCTTTCCAGTTTTAAATGTTTTGTTGATTACGGTTTTCCCCTGTGATCTAGGTCATGACTCATTCCACCTGAGTTTTCTGTGGTGGTTTAAGCTCTTTGCTTTATTGAATTTATTTATGAGGCTCTTTGGTGGTAAATACAGGAGCTCTAAATTTCCCAGTCATTGTTGATAACATTCTTTTCAAAAAAGGATAGAAAGGAGCAAAAGCACTCTCCTTTTCTTCTTCTTCATTTCTAAAAGGCCCCAAGAAAAGTACGGGTTTTAAAATAAAAGGAAATGATCTTTGAAGTAAAGGTGAAATACAAACTGAAGGAGACAGTTGTTTTTTTTTTAAACTTTAAAAAATTAAATTGTAGATTACCTTGAATGATTTAAGAATTAATATTAAAAGGGGATTTCCTTGGAAAAGACTGGATATAGCTTTTTTTTCCCCCTTCTATATTTAGCTCTAGGAATTTTAAAATCAAGATCAATGAAATTTAGAAAAAGAAAGTAAATAGTCTAAATTTAGGACATCAAAGACTGTGTAGTTTCTAGAGTGTAAATCCATTTTTTGGTCATGCATTTACAAGGTGTGAGTGAAAATATGTAGAAAGTATACATTTCCTGACTATAATGTAGATTTTGAATATAACTGCTGTAATAATATTAAAAATAGTTTTCTGTTGTGCATTTTGTTTGCTGGTGTTATTGGTATTTTTCAATTCTTTAGAAAAAAGTATTTTAAAATGAGTTTGTATCACCCTTAAACATGGTAAAGCAGAGCTGGCATTCAGGGATATTCCAGATCAGGAATAGGACTGCAATTAAAAGCTGTGATATATTTATTTACACAATGGAATACTATACAGCCATAAAAAGGAGATCTTACCCTTTGAGACAGCATGGAGGGACCTGGAGAGTATTATGCTAAGCGAAATAAGCCAGTCAGAGAAAGACAAGTATCACATGATCTCACTTATATGTGGAATCTAATGAACAAAATAAACTGAGAACAAAATAGACTCAGAGACAAGGAAGCATGTAACAGACTGACCAATTTCAGAATGAAGTGGGGTGGATAGGTGGTTAGAGATTAACTAAAGAACCTACATGCATATGTGCATAACCATAGACACAGAAAATAATGCAGTAGGGCTGGGGGTGGGTGAGTGTGACATCTGTAATACTTTCAACAATAAAGATAAATTTTAAAACAAAGTAAATAACATCATGCTTGAAATGTGATTTAAGAGAGTCTTAGGAGGCTGGTTATTGAGGGTTAATAGGTTCCTAATGAAGGTCTTGGCAAAGCTAAAAATCTACCGGTGGAGCCAATTTCAGAAACTATGTAGTTAGCTATTAGAGTTCGGAGTGTGGGTTCTGGGGAAGTGTTTTCCTTTTGCCCTTGATTATTTATTTTCTCCCAAGTAATAGTGATTCATTCTCAGATTATTTAAGGAGGAGTAGCTAATTCTACTTCCAGTGTGATGCTGGACCTATAGCATCACATCACCTGGGACCTTGTTGGAAATAAAGAATCTTAGGGTCCCCCAAGCCTGAGTGAATCAGGATCTCCATTTTAACAAGGTCCTCAGGCAATGTACATACAGGTTAAAATTTGAGACGTATCATACTAGCAAATTGGTAAGAATATATACAGATCACATTGAGAACAAGGAATCATATCAACTGAAAAAGACGATAGGCAGGATAAACAGCAACTTAAAAAACCCATGAAACAAAAAGAAAGGTAAGCTTCACCTAGCCATTTAGAGAATGTAGAACAGGAACAGTACATAGATTTTGCTAGTGTGCTATCTCTAATCCACGGTGGTGGCTGCCCAGGAGCACTGTATGTGTTGTGAGACAGAGTGTGGAATTAACAGCAATGTCTGCCAAGGGCTTGAGCACCTGCTATATTTGGTTTTGAAGATTGTTGGGTCATCAGTATTCTTGCCTTTCTCTGCCCGCCTCCTGTATTTAGTTTTGGTATAGATGAATACAAGTACTACTTGCTTCTCTAGGCATCTTCGGCTACAGTAACTAATACATATAATTGAAATTCTACTTTTATTTATTAAGGAAATCAGCCATGCTGCCTAAAATACATTGATCTCTCCCCACCCCCTGAGCAGTGGCTGAAGTTTCCCCAATGTCATGCATTGTTTTATAAGTAAGATTTAATAATCCCCTTTTATCTGTTACCTAGTTTTGTCATTTTGGATAA